TTTGGGTGTATAGGGGCGCAGACAGGACATCGAGATCAAGCAGGCGTACAGACTTGAAGCCTTCAGCTTGTTGTGGGACCTGATGCCGGAACCGTCCTAAACCCTGAACCTTAAGCCCAAACCCTAAACCCTACACCCTAAACCCCAGACTGTGATCAGCCCTCGGCCAAAGCAGAGTCGCGCAGAGTGAGCCCGGCTTGGGTTTCTTGTCCTTTGAAAATCGAGCATTCCTAGATGCCATATCCTCGAAGTGAATCGGAAAGCCCAAGCACTGAATCCAAATCGCTGCGCAACAGGCGGAGGCCGTTTGTTTATAGGGAATCCGCCTTTGTGAGAAGTTCGCAGAAGGAGGCGAGCGATGTTGGGAATCGCGACGGAATACTCCCAAAAAATCAAAGAAGTCAGCATGGCCCATGTCAGAACCAGCGCAAGAAGCAGGGTTGTTGGTGTTTGGCTTAGGGGACCCGCTACATAGGGTTCCCTGTTGGGGTCCTGTTTACCTAGAGTGCTGTACTATATTGGGGACCGAAAAGGGCCTAAACCCTAAACCCTAAACCCTAAACCCCTAAACCGTTTAGAGAACTACCTGAAAGAAGCCACAACCATCTCCAGGAAGCCAGGCCAAACTTCGCAGAGATTGCTCAGACCTCAGGTTTGTGGCTTCTAGGGTTTAGGGCTTTTAAGTTTAGGGTTTAGGGCTTTTAGGGTTTAGGGCTTTTAAGTTTAGGGTTTAGGGCTTTTAGGGTTTAGGGCTTTCAGGGTTTAGGGCTTTTGGGGTTTGGGGTTGAGGGTACGGACGGGCCCGAAAGGCCTAGGCGGAGTACAAGATGAATGGTGGAGCTTTCGGACGCTTTCCAATTGCCCTTATGGCCCTACAGAGGTACCTTTTCATAAAGAGTTTTGGGAGCCTTTGAAGTATAACCCAGTCGAGACATAGCAGCTGTTGAAGCGCCGACGGCAAGACTAAGCCTCAAGTCACGGAGTTTGCACTTCGACTTCTTTGCGTGTGCTTTCGTTCGCAGTTACAGGGATCCCAGAACAGGGACCTGGAACCCTAAACCCTAAAACCCTAAACCCTAAAACCCCTAAACCCTAAAACCCTAACCCCTAAACCCTAAAGCCTAAACCCCTAAACCCCTAAACCCCTAAACCCCTGACTTTGTGCCTTCGCCGTAGTTTGGTCAGGGACTCCAAAGTTTGTAGCTGCTCCCAGGTTCGTGCCCTACGTGGGATCGCCGAGCTCCCTGCCACGGTGGGCCGGTGATGCTCTTTACCCCTAAACTTTCAGCGTGTGGGGAAGTTTAGGGTTTAGGGTTTAGTGATTTCGGGTTCAGGCTTAGGGTTTCTAGGCCTTGGCTGGCCTATGGGTTTTTGAGGCTTTGAATTTTGGGGAATTTTCGGGCTTTGGCTTGAAAACTAGGACCCGCAAGCAAAAGCCTTTCAGCAGGGACAGGATTCCTCCACCGCTTGGGGGGTTGTGCGTTCAGAGCTGTTGGGTTTTGGCATGGCTTCTCCCAGCAGCACAAAACTGCAGAAGACTTCGCAAGTCGTAGAGACACCAGCGAACCCTAAACCCTAAACCTTACTGTGAGAGTCGAAACCCTAAACCCTGATGAGGGCTTCAGCCCTAGCAAGTTTGAGACTTCTGAAGACATCGCGGAAGGCGCCCGTTTGCCCACCGCTCTCCACACCTGTGGAAGCCATAGGTGCCCAGGCCCGGGATATCACTGTTTTTCGAGTTGCTGCTTCGATTTTGCAGCCGCTACTGTTTGCTTTGGTGCCATCCCGACTCCGATGAGCATGACATGTTGTACCTGCCAGTGCTACATCGGGTTTTGTCATTGCTGTTACGACTGCTCCTTGGAGGCACCTGCTGTAGGTATGACTGAAGGAGGCAGGAAGACGAGGGTAACGGCAGCTTGAGACGTAGCGTTTGTGGTAGGAGTCGTCACCGCTGCATAGTAGAAGCAGTGGTGGTAGCAGTAGCAGTAATTAGCCGCGAAGAAGCACTTTAGCACTTCAGCACCTCTGCTGCAGCCTAGCAAGCAGCAGCAGCAGCAGTCGTAGGGGCAGAGCAGCAGCCGTCATGCCCCCGTCATCGCAGTTTGTCGCTACTCTCACTCCTGCTCCTGCTCTTGCTCTTCCTATGCGGCCGCAGTGTCAGCTCTTGAAACTGCAACGTTCGCCACAACGAGGGGCTGCTGTATCACCTTTGCTTAGCAGCGAACCTGCACAGAAGAGCGTGCTGCTTTGCTCCGCAGCATTTTGCTGTGAAGACGCACCAACCAGTTTTCAGCCTCGCCTGCCACACACAATGGAAGATCCAAGCAAGAAGCCCACGTGTACATCCGCTCTGATGCAAGAGTCGGTTTACTGTGCCGCACTAGGGCTTACCGTGCTGAGCGTGCTGGTTTGCAGTGGGGTTGCTCGCAGAATGGCCAAATGCTCTTCCACTCTTGACCCAAAGCCGAAGCCGCGACATCAAACCCTGCTCCAGGCACGCGCAGTCTCACCGTATCAGAATCACAAGGAGTGGACGCAGCCCGGGACTCAGGATTCCAGCCAACTTGGAGGTTCATGAGGAATAACATAAAAAATAGCAGTATGACTTGCAAATAAGACTAACACAACTAGAACTAGTTGTATGAATTGGAGTCATCAGCGGTAGCGTTGTAAGTTATAAGCAGGGTGGCTGTATGTTTGTGTCCCAAGCTTTCCATGGCTTACCTTGACTACCAATGATCCATCGAATGCGGGCCCTTTTGTTTTTTCAGCAGGGTTACATTTTGTCTACTGCTCTCGCCCGGCACTCCGAGAGGTTTAAAGACCGTGGGTCTATGCTGCAGATTGGTCGAGTTCAAAAGCGGGGGAGATGGCCGTCGAGCTTCGGAAGTCGGAGTAGTAAAGCTGTAATTGTGCGCATAAGTCTGGGAAAGTCGACAAGCAAGAATGGCTAAGCGTGGCGCACTCGCTTCATGCCCCGGCATGACCCGTCGACTCGGGAAAGGAGACAGAATCGCACAAGATGGCCCCAAGGCGCAGCAGCGTAGTCTCGCCACCGCCGGCCCCGCGGCCCCGCGAGGCTCCGGGCAGCATGAAGAATTACGACAATAATCAGAAGAATAATGCTGATCATGATCATGACGGTCATGGTAACAGAACCTAGAAGAAAAGAAGTAGAAGTAGTAGTCGTCGTCGTCGTCGTCGTCGTCGCAATCATAAAAAACAAAGATCCGGACAATAGTGAACAAAGATTCCTGTTCTTCAACTTGTAATTGCCATGCTTATGTCTACGATTATCGTTAGATTTATTCTTACACTCTGGCAAGCCTCGCAGCTGCGGGCGGTGCGAGAGGGGCAAACATACGGTTATTAATATTCTCGTTATTATTGTCACTTAGTGTTGTTAGTACTATTACTATTGCCGCTACTAACACGATCAGTACTACTATTGCTGCTGATTTCAGTTTCACCATCACCAGTGCCACTATCATTATTTTTGTTGCCCTTTTCATCATGGTTATCATGCTTATGATTGCTACTGCTGTTGCTCTGCCTCTTCGTCGTCGTGGTCGTTGTCGGCATCACCATGACACTAAAGCACCACCTTCTTCTCTAAACCCTAAACCCCTAAAC